AGCAAAAATGTGAGCATACTAAAATGCACTAAAGTTAGAAAAAAAACCTGTTCGAACAGGGTTTTTTTCTGACTTCAGTGCATTTTAGAATGCTGATATTTGTATCACAGATAACATCGAAATTTTTCTATTTATATAGAATTGTAGTCCAAACATTGCTCTACAAAATGAGAGGTTGCACAACTCTGAGTAATTCTTTATAGGCCATTTATAACAATTTTTGTGGAAGACCCAACACCAGTTTTTGACTGATGTATGCCTAACTATTTGTGATTGATGGCGCTGATTCCGAATATGAACATCGAAGTTGCCTTTGGGCTTTGATCGGTTTTCTGAAAATTAGATCTTCAGAAAACCATGAACCAAATCCAGAAAAGTTTTCTGAATCAGCCATTTTGTAGACGACACGAAACTGTCTGTATTTCATAAGTTTTAACGTTTGAAAATATTATTGAACGGTGAAACGATGCTATGATTTTTGCAAAGTATTCTAACTGCAATATTTTTCCATCGAAACAAGCGTAGCCGCTCTTTTGGGAATTTCCTACGCTGTTGAGTTTTTGTTTTGAAAAATTAAACTTTATGGTTTATAGTTTTGTGTCGTCTACAATAGAGTTGATTCAGAAAAATGTTCTGGTATTGGTTCATGGTTTTCTGAAGAGCTAGTTTTCAGAAATTCGGTGAACAAAAGCCCAAAAACAGCTTCGATGTTCATATTCGGAATCAGCGCCATCAGTTACATACAGCCCACCTAGTCTCATTGAAAAAACGATTTGCAGCTTAGAGTACTTCCGTCCTAAATAGTATCTTAGTTATCTTTTACGTCGTGCGAAGTATCTTTGCCAGTTTGAACGAGAACTAGTAGCCAAACAGTATGTAAAACGAGAACTGTTCCAGCGCATAGATTTCCGAATGCAACGTTCCAGTAGTCATCTCTATGGAATCTAAGAACCAGAGTTCTGTTTAGAATAAATACACGGAAGAAACCATCTTATTAACAACCGTTCATGTGGTTTATTCTCAACTGGTCCCAAATTAGTTTATACTTCATTAGCTTTAATATTGCAGATTCAACTAAATGAATATATTTCATAAACAAAACAGGGGCAATAATCACAAGAGATTTTGAAAGGCAGAGTCTGTATCCCTATTCACATATATATATGCACATTTATTGTCAGCAGAAAACAGTCCATGTACCTCGACGAGTCAGATGTTTTCTCGTAACATACTCTCATGCTAGTACAACCCCCTCCCACTCACATCTAGAATGATGCTTGATACTTGAATCAACACTAAGCATAAGCTGATATAAACTCCGGCAATCTCAGTATCCCACGCATTTATAAATATACATAGATTTATGAATACGGATACACACTCTGTATCGAGTAAAACCCGATTTATATATGCACACATATGTCAATATAGATATATTGATATTTGTATATGAGCTAATTAAGTGTAAACTAATATGGGACGAATTGAGAGAGAAATGCATCGTACAAAGCCATGCAGCACATCATTTTATCCAAACATTACCCTTATCAATTTTAGGATAAGATAGGTAATAAGAATTACTTCGGTTTTTGCACAGCCTTTGTTAAGAAAAAATGCAACAGATATAACGTTAGAATAAAGCTGTTTTATAGGATCAGGCTATTCATTACTAAATCTTGGCTGTAATGTGATGTGTGGTCTTGCTGTATTCCTACATTCCTGTATTCGTGACCTCATGGATAATTTCTGGTTGCTGCAACCTCAACATTCCTACTTATTTTAGTCTATAAAATACTATTATGTACATCTTTCTCCATCTACCCATACCTATAAGTATATACCCGTGCCTGCGCCTACATACCAATCCCTACTCAATCCGTGCCCATCTCCACTGATCCCTACCCATGCTTACCCGTGCTCACCCATACCTATATGTACCAAAGGACAAAAACCTTAAGTTGGCGGCACATGGAGTATAATATTCTTTATCCAATGTCTTACTGCTAGTGTCCTACAAGTCTGCATTTTCATCCTCATTTTGTTGCTTAGGATGCGTAGGTACGGGTAGGTGCGTGTAGGTATGGGTAGGAATGGGTATGTGGTAGATCAATTTTGGGTTACAGCAACGTTATAAATACCGAGGTCGCGGCAACGTCAAACTATCCATCTTGTAGCATTCCTACATTCCTGTATTTCTGTATTCCTGCCATCCCGTAGTCCCACATTCATGAATTCTGTTATTCCTGCATTACTGTGGCAAACTTTTCGAAATATGTGCCTGCGCTATTTTGGAAAGAAGTTACACAACTTTCCTCGAAACGCAAAGTTTGTTCGGTCATACCTAACCTTGCTGCGCAAAGCAAAGTGGCCATGGTCTGAAAAAGAGGCGATCCTCTCTCGTAAAATAGCAGTACTTCACATACCATTAACAGCTAACTCACGAAATGCATACCATAGATAGCGTAGAGTCGTGGCTACCTTTTCGTAAAAAGAAAGCTTTTCATCTCTCTTAGATCAGAAGCAAGACAGAATAAACACAACAATTGAATTACACTTTCTTCAATTCAACTTATCTTATTAATGTTTAGTTAGACAGCAGAGTTAAGCCGGGACCGCCATTCAAAGAGAAATATTAGCATTTTGTGTATTGAATTAATTTTGTACAATCATTCATCACACTATAGATGATTTCGTTATTATAAAATTTGCACTTTTTTCAGGGGGAGAGAGCAGAACTTAGAATTGGCTGTTTGCTACTTTTACCAAATTTTTAAAAAGGTTTCTGACTAAGTCATTGAATAGAACTTAAAATGTTACACTTATGGCGAAAACCGTGAGGTTAGAGTCGACGAAGTTTTTCGAGGTCGGATCTCTTACTGTAACAGCTGCTGATGGAAGAGTAGAACTTTCATCGATACTTCAATAGCTATGGAAATTAGAAAAAATTATTCGATGAAAATGCCAAAAATATCAGTAGGAAGAAATGTGTGACTGATGTAAAACATTTTTATGCAGTCTTATCAAATCTTAGCTAAAAATAATTACTTTTATTAATTCAGTTTAAGTCAAACATCACCATCGTTCAAGATTTCCTCATATACAACTGAAAAGAACAAAGCTAAAATTCATAATAACTGAGTACAGGATAATGGTCAGATAAATCATAATAATCCTGTTCAAAATTAAATTCTTTCCATGCTTGAAATGTTTTTGGTTGTAAAATACGTTGATACGATAATTTTGGTTGTAGATGCATTTTAGAATAAAAAACATAATCAATACATTCTTGTTTATGATCGGAATGACGAATACCAATAAGATCATTAGTTCTACTATCAAATGTAAAACTATATTCACCGATATATGGAGGAATTTTAATATTTAATACAGATAACATATTTAAATATTCATCTGGTTGAAGGAAACGGTCAATATTGAAATCACCTAGAAAAAAGATTTTATAATATTGAATCGTTCAAGTCCATAAGTAAACTTTTAGAAACTAAACTGACTAAGATCTAGAAAATCCTAATATTAGCTCGATGAAGCACATTTTGAAGTTTATGTCTGTAACATGATTGTATTTAGCTGTAAAAAGAACTAAAGACACGGTGATCGTCTATACTGCTTGCGATGTACTTCGGTTGCTTGTGAACAGGAGATATGCACATACAAATGTAATCGATGGGACTATTGCTGAATACTATACTAACATCTTTTACTAGACTTTTGGAGACCATCATAGGGAAAACCAGATCTGAGAATGGCCTTGGCATTATATAGAGGATGCTTAGTTGCCTAAGTGAAAAATTTTCACGATGGTTGGATGAGACTTAACGAAATTATAAATAGTTTGCTTTACAATACACCTGAAATGCGAAAAACGTTAAAAAAGAACGAGTTAAGCAAAAAACACAGACAAAAAGGAAGATATAGTTTTCGAAAGAGAAACAGACTGCTTGAGCTCTTATAAATATCTATTAAACGTTTAAAAAGATCTATTTATCCATTTTCTGGTTGCTTTCAAGAAAATACTTTGTTATGGAAAACTGAATTGTAGTCAGCTGACTTTTTTCTAATCGACGTATATATCAGAGATAAACAAACAAAACTCAGCCGAAAGTCGCTGAAAAACTAACAAAAGAACCCAGCAATTTTTTTCTGAAAAACTGGAAAAGATTTGACTATGCAGAAAGACTTTCTCAGTAGCTGTACTTATCGATGCCGTCAACCGTTTTTTCTTTCCATTGGCTTCTGTAGAAGAAAAAAACGTTTCCTAGAAAACTGAATAGTTTTCTGATTCTTTGCTTCAGGGATGGGCGAGTCTGAGTTTGAACTGGAGGATTTTTTTGAAGACCCGGACTTGGACTCGGATGGGCGATTCTTTCGAAAGACTCGGATCCAAGCTTGAGTTTTTGTATTTCGATCGAGTCAAGTTTTAACATAAATTTTTTCTGTAGCAATTCAACAAAAAGAAAACAATTGTTTCCGCATATATCTAATCTTTCTTCATCAGAAAAGAATGAAAACTGAAATAACAATAACTACTGTTTCACAAGAGATTGATAATTTTATGTGAGAGACGAGTACGCAAAGTAATCTTATTTTCGAAAAATCGAATATCTATCCAAGTCTCAGTAAACTAGTTAAAAAACTTTAGTGTGATCCGACTACATCTACATCCATTTAGCGTCTACTCTCAGAATCTACATCACTTTCGGTAGCAGAAGTGATTTTTCGCGGCTTTTGAACAAGTTTTCTAGAAGCTATGGAAAACCGGATCTTCAGATAATAGTTCTTTCCTGGATACTTATGCAATCAAATTCCTTTCTCAGCGCCTAAGTTGTAGAGAAAACTTTTCCGATCAAAATAAGAAGTCCTTATATTAAAAAGCTACAGGCATTTTCCTAAAAGCCCTAAATTGAGCATTTTGTACAGCGTTTACTCTACATGTGAGTTACACCTGAAGTATTTCCCCAAATTTTTTAATATACTTCAAGCTAAAGAGTTCGGGTTTATTTTATTTTAAACTAGACACCTAGCTAGATGGGCTGATCGGCGCCGATTTTTCAATTTGGTCTTAGTTTTTTGTCAAATTGAGGGCTTCTATAAAACCAGAAAGCGTTTTGGGGGATTTTGAGGTTGTTGTTTGTCTACAAAACGAACGAAGATCTAATTAAAAAATCGGCGCCGATCAGTCCATATAGCTAGGTGTCTAGTTTAAAATAAAATAAATCCGAATTCTCTAGCTTGAAATATATTAAAAAGTTGGGAAATACTTCGGGGTCATTTTTGGCCCTTGGTCTCTGGAAAACTTCTAAACCACAAGACTTGGAGACAACAAAGTTTTTCACTTTCGTAACTCTGTCCTTAATATTAGGGACTCGGATTCGGTACCCACACGAACTCATCCAAACCTGCGTAGCTCAACAGCTGCTGCAAAATGTGTCAGAGAAATAGGAAAACTTTTTAAAGATTAAACTGAGCAAAGCAGTTGAAAATTTCAGTCAAACACAACCGATAACCGGTCAGCTGAACCTGTTTGGTGGCGGTTTGTCAATCAGGTCACAACTATGATGCGTGTGCATCAGCCTCTCAAATCAAAATGCTTTCAATTTTAGTTGTACCAAACTTATCCCATACTAAGGAAAATTTAGGTTTTCTATAAAATGCCAAAGTTAAAGTCGTATTGCTTGGGAAACGAATAGTCAGTATGATGAGAACACGGACTCCAAATGTCTGTTCCTCGCTCCTACCGTATCACTTATACAGTTCTACGTGTCTTTTTTTCAGGAATCGGTTCTTCATTCGAGCACTTTCTGTTCTCATTCATGCAGTATTTAGTAAATCGACGTGTAACGATCAAACCGAATACAACGGCTAACAAAGGTCGTACTGGTTCTATTTTTCTCATTAAGCACTCGATCTATAGGATTCTGAAAATCAAAATTTGGCTTTTTTCTGTTTTTGCTATTCGGAAAAACAAGCGAGATACAAGAGTGAAAAACGTCTTTGAAATTCTTAACTTCTTTTCCCTTTCTTGTAAGGAACGTCAAGGTAGCCTTATACTAGCTCAACATCCAGTAAAAGATAAGAAAATTGACGAGGTGGTACTACCGATGTATTGGTCATACTGTAAATGTGTCACGTGCTATAAATGCTTTTTCGCTGAGAATTTTCAACATACCAGCTATAATAACCGGTTCATTCGAAGAAATATTTAGTGTATCAATAAATTGTTTTATTATATCGATTTGTCTTGTTCTAATGCGAGTTTTTTGTCTGCCAAGTTTAGCTTGCAAATGTGTGCCAAATATGTGTACGAAGAATGTTTGATTGAACTGAATTTTCGTATACAAAATACTTTTATCAGCAAAACAATCAAAACCACTACATGCATCCCGAAATGCACGATATTGCTGTTGTTCAATAGGAAATTTCGATGCTATAAATATTCCACCATTGACTTTAAATAGACCACCATAGCCAACTGTTTGACTCATAAATAAAAAACCATATTCATGTAATTTTAATTGCAGTTGAGATCGTGAGTGTTTATCAAACACTTCTTGAAATACAACAATATCGTAATCTTTTGTATGATAAGGTATCAAGTGAGATCGCAGACGTTGTCCATTGAAAAACGGTGGAAATGGTCTTAAATATAAATTGTATGAAAGAATACTGATACCAGAGACTGTATCATTATAATCCATTGGCAAATACTGTGATGTTGTGTTTAAAAGTTTAATTAGAAGGAAACACGACAACAGAAAATAAAACATTATTTTTTATATAGAACAAAAAAGAAAGAGAGGAAAGAGTAGATTTAGCAGTTAATTGATATTTGTAGAATAACAGACATTACAAGGCTAACAAAGAATATCATTATTTTCTTTCATTTGCTCTTTTGCTGTCGTTGATTGATTAAGGCCATTATTATCAGTTGACATTGTTATCTAATTTTATATTATTAATAGAAGGGTATGAAACATCGTATTTGTACTCATTTAGTAATACATTTGAGTACTTTGAGTGCAATATCTGACGTCATAATCCTTTTCTTCTTGTGTTCCTATACCGTGCATTCGATGAAAACTAGTCGATCAATTTACATATGACTGCATTCTATTTGGTAGGCATCAGAGAGCATCTCTACGTCAGAACAGAAAGAAAATGTGGACTTACATTAGAACCGATGCAGATGGCAGATTCTTTTCAGGAACCGCTACCATCCCAATAAAACTTGATTCTAAACTTTTAATCTTCAGACTTAAAATTTTGCAGTTATTTAACTCGGTGTAGATTGTTTTTGAAGAAATGATAAAGAATCCTTTCTTTTGTCACTATTTCAATAAATTCTACTTTTTTAATCTTTTTCTCTACTATCATGTTTTAAGAAAGAAAACAAAAGAACAACACAAATAAACTCTTCAGACTAACCGTCACTACAAAAAGGCTCAGAAATTCAAGAACAGCCAGCAAAAATTAATAATATTACAGACAACAGCGACTCATTTTGTGTGAGAGCCACGTTGAAGACATTTGGATCAGTGAAATATTAGCAGTAACATAGAACGTCTTTTAGACCTTAGAATCCTATAACGTCGACAAGAAAATTTTACCGATCAGAAAACCAAAGCATTCATAAAATTACAAGTTTATAAAACATGAATCAGCGCAAGAATTACTAGAAATTTTTTGACGGAACCGGAATCAAAAATACTTACTTCAGCCCATGTCTGGTCTATTTGCTTTGATTGAGGTAATATCAGACGATTCAAAAGAATGACGCTGCCAGCATTTTTCATATTTATATATCGATCGGATCTGGCCATCTGAACTTAGGTTTTGTAAACAAACTTTCTAGCGAAAAAACAATACTTCTTCTTGCATTAATTTTACAAGGATATTTCGTGTTCATATCAAAACTTTACAGCACAGTGACAATCGTATGTGACCATGAGAAATCAGCAGAGATGTCAGAATATCAGTACGCAGTGTATTCTCGAAAAGACACTATTTCCTAGGCTTTCTGGGTTTGCTGGGCTTGCTGGGTTAAGTGGTGCGGCCAAGGCGTTCAAACACGAATTCGCAGATTGCGTTTTCCCGTGCGAATTGTACTTAGCTGCAATTAACCGGCACTTCGAGCACTGTGTAAACATACCAAATCTGCGAAGTGTATCGAGGAATGAATTGCATTTAGAAACTATTCAAGGTCTTTTTCCGTCTCAACAATCTGCATTTCCGAAGTGATGGCGAATTGTACATCGTTGAAAATATGCTCATCAATGTGCAGACACGAATTCGGCAAAACTCGCTGATCTGTTTAGATGGCAATTCAACAATGGTGGCAATGTGCAGTTTTGCACATCGTCGCTACCAAATTTAAAACAACGATGTGCAAGATCGAATTCGCCGAACTATGTAAATTTTTCAAAAAAGAAAGCAAAAGTTATGTGTCAACTTGAAGCAACGTAAAAATGAGCACTTTGGAAACCATTACTGTAGAATATGAATCCAACTATGTGCAAGACCGAGTCGTTCACCAATCTAAACTAGAACCCACATGACTACGCACGATAAACATCGGAAATGGAAGAAGGTTTCCCGCCAGTTGCAAAAATGTGCGTATTGCTTGCACCTTGCAGTTATTTCTTATTAAATTCTGCGATTTCACACATGACTACTCATAACAAATATCAGAAGTGAACGAAAGTTTCCCTACCGCTCGAGAAATGCCGAAACTGCTTTGCACATTACAGTTATTCGTTTTAAATTCTGCGAATTCACACATTCCATCATTTGTTTTTTATGATGATATGTGCCATATTATAGAGATATAGAGAGAGAAACTTTCTTCAACTTTGGATAATTATCGTAGCTGCCCATTTACGAATTCCCACATTTTCATACAAATTGACTGCAGTGTGCAAAGTGCACGCTAGATGCAGATTTTTTGACCTAGAGGAAAATGTCTTTCGATTTTGATCTACTTTAACAGCAATGAACTTGCGAATTCTCACATTTTCATACGAATTGTTTGCAAAGTACAAAGAGCAAGCAATTTGCAGATTTCTCGACGTAGAAGTAAAAGATTTTTGATTGTTAGCATAGCTACTCACCTGCGACTTTGCACTTTTAACGTACGAAGTAATTGCAATGTGCAATTACTAAAACAGATAGTCTACCAACTACTTCTTACGAAATCGAACATACGCCTAGCAATCTGGTTTACCCGCTTTCTGTGAATTCATGTGTCTACAGCGAAGTGCATTTGCGAATTCGTAAAACGCTGCTAATTAACAGTAACATCTAGTTTTTGAAATTCCTGCGATTCGTCCACGTTCTGCAAGGTGCATCTACGATTTGTCTAATTTTATCATACACTTCGCATTTGCGAATCCTTCGAACATGGAAATTAATGAGTAGTATACAACTTGGATTTAGCAATGCGCATTTACGAAATTCGTAAAATGCTCTCAACAGTGTGTATTTACGAACTGAACGAATCAAACGAACTGGAGTGTTTTCATTTTAATGGTATGAAAGTGTTAAAACAACAGTTTGCACGGTGCGAAGTGCATTTCGTTTTCGAACACCTTGGCCGCACAACTGGCTGGGTTTGATGTATTCTCATTGACAATACATAATATGTGCCGCGGTCGGGGTGTGTGTGTGTGTGTGTGTGCAGCATGAGAGTGACTCAACTATGCAACATTTGCCTATTGTCAATGAGAATACACCAAGCTCAGCACATTTTACGGAAATTTATATATTTGCGTATTCTGGTATATTCTTGTGTATTGTCAATGAGAATACACTTGCTGGGCCTGGTGTATTCTTGTGCATAATACACTGATATTCCTCCGGGTTCATTGAAACTCCTATTAAGACCACTTCGGCAATCAGCGATTGGAACTCGTGCACGGGAAGAGGATAAGCGCAAGGTGAGAGTGAGTCACCAACTAGGATGACATACGACAAATCTAACAGTCTGTGATTTCTAAGTTCGCAAAGAAATCTAAGGTCTACCGGTGGTACATCGAATACTGAAGATGGGTCTTTTAGTATTGTTCCTTCATGTTAGGAATGGAAACAGAACGTCACATACGATAAAGTTTATCAGAACCAACGTACACTAGAAATGCTTTGTAGGAGAAGAATTATGAACATTCGCCGCATATTGGTGATTTCTATAGAGCTTATTACATAGCTTTAACAATACTACGGTCGTTGGAAGCGGATTAAAAAACTTTTATGAAGAATAGGGAAAGATGAAGAATGTCGTTTTCTTTTATCAAGAATATTTTCGCTAGGAAGTAAATAATAAAACGATTTAATGATTCTGCCAAAATCTGTATCATTGATCTTTTATTTTTTCGCCATTAGCAGAACCAAAAAGTGAGCATGCACGTTTGTATTATTCGTATCGTTTTCAATTGCATACCATAGCTAATGCTTTTAAAGGTTGAAAAAATGAAAACCAAGAAATCATAAAGATATAAGTATTAGCTTGAGAACGACATTTACACCATCTAGCCAGCAAAAGCATTACAGATACAAGCACAAGATCACGCCTGGGACCAGAAAATTTTAAAAAGTGGTCGGGCCGGGCAGGGTTGAGTCAGAAACGTTTCAGAATTGGTCTGGCCGGGCCAGATAAATTTCATGTTTGGTTAGGCCGAGCCGAGCTTGATCTGGAAACTTTCATCATCAGACCTGCTCAAAAATCTTCGACCCGTGCAGATCTCTGATTGACACATTGAAAAGATATTGCTGCAATATAATCTATGATAGCAACGGTAATGAGTCAATGAAAGGAAGAAGAAAGGAAAAAAGGTACAGAGTTGAGATGCATTCACATTCTCATTAAAGAAAAATGAACAACACGAGCACCAACGATGACTATAACGAAGTACTATACGAAGAAAGCACAGTATTAACAGAGTAACAAAATCCGCAGCGTAAATAGAATAGTCCAAAAATAGAGTACGAGATCTGATTTACAAGTCAGTCCTATATCTCCACTCATGAAAGAAGAAAAAGTAAGTATTCTTTTAGTCATTTGTACGCACTGAGATGTCAGTTACGATATGTTTTACATTTGATTCCACTTTTCTCAATTTGATCTAAATTTATCATTTCTCTCAAATTTGAGCTTCTGCATCAAATTTTTATTGGGAATTAATGGTTAGAAACATTAGAACTGTAATATTAGATAAAACAACAGGCGTCAACTGCGATACATCTGTTTATCTTGGTGATTTTCGAGAACTACATTTAATGTCTTATCGCAAAAAAAACATAATTTACCACTATAACTGATAAGATTAATGTGATGAATTCTTTACCCCAACAAATGACGATAAATATTCATTAAAAGTTTATCTTGTTTCATGTCAATATTTATAATAATTATCGCGATATTTAATAATACATCCTCTCATTCCGATAGATACTTGTTCTGTCTCTGTTGTTCTTTTGAAAGTCGTTATGATGTTGTTATTCACGACAGAATATAGCGTATATTGTATTGCAATTAACGTTTGTCCATCATGCTCAGTCAAGATCGTAATCTATAAATAATTATGCTTTTTTTCCTAACTAAAGTCCTATAAACAAGTTAATAAATATAATTTACACAGCTTTGTATCGCAAACATAAGTCAGCGTAATAGAAGTTTGATTAAAAATAATACCTACTAAGTTATAGATAGATATCAATGCATTACAGGGAACACCTTTCCTTCTTCGTTTTTTTACATTCATAATTAATAAGTGAAACAAGTTGTGTAGGTTACGCAGGAAAATGATCACGACTAGGAAACAATCTTTGTCTATGTTTTTTAAATAAATACATATTAGAAACAGGCTCACTCTTTCAGATAGAAAGCTATACGTATGACTAAAATGAATATTCAAAATACTTCGACAGGAGACATTGATATTAGAGATATTATTCAGAATAATCCACTATTGAACAATGATGCGTTACATCTTGTATTCGCACAGTTTTAGTCAATCGTGTCAGACACCAATAAGTTCCCTGAAGCTGGTTTGAATAAGATCATTCAACAAAAATCATTTTAAGTTTTTTTTAAGTCTAATTAGCACGAAGTGGTTTCGGATATTTATTTTATTTTAACTCAAGGTTATCGATATTCAAAAGTCACTTGAATTAAAATAAAATAAATTTTCAAAATCATTTCGTCTTAATTCCAAAGAACATTATACAACGTAGTAAAGAGCCATCAGCATGAAAAACTGTATTGAATGACATTACAGATTAAGAATGACATAATATGAATGAGAAAGACTATCTCAATGCTTTGTCGCAAGTAACACGAACTGCGTCCGATAGCATGGGCCGAGAGACGTCCTTTCGAAAGCGAAACAAGTTTCAAGATCCCTTTTGAAAGTAGAATTTTGAGAAGCTCTTTGAAAAACCGATATGTGTCTCACAAAAGCATTTCAAAAAAGGCTGTGCTCCACTATATTTTGAAATGATAGTAGTCTTTTTAATTTTATTCCTTGTTGTTATTATTTGTATTTTTATCTTTCTATTTTTGTTCTGCCTACTATTTATGTATGGGACGACTGTCAATTTTGCTTGACAGGATGATATAACGCTGCACCGGCCCTCTTTCATTTGCCAAGTGTGTTGAATTAACTAATATATAAAGCTTATAACTAAAGGTCTTGTAAAAATCATGCGATCTTTCTAGGCATGCACCAGTTAAAAATGGGTATTAGGGCTTCTACGAAAATTGTTATAAATGATCTATAAAGAATTACTCAGAGTTGTGCAACCTCTCATTTTGTAGAGAAATGTTTGCTCTTGCGTGTTCGACTGTAAAAAGGAATTCGAAGTAAATTCTAGCAAAAATGTGAGCATACTAAAATGCACTAAAGTTAGAAAAAAAACCTGTTCGAACAGGGTTTTTTTCTGACTTCAGTGCATTTTAGAATGCTGATATTTGTATCACAGATAACATCGAAATTTTTTTATTTATATGGAATTGTAGTCCGCAATTCCCTACAAAATGAGAGGTTGCGTAACTCTGAGTAATTCTTTATAGGTCATTTATAGCAATTTTTGTGGAAGAACACCAGTTTTTAATTGATGTATGCCTAACGGTCTCTCACACAAAGTCAAACCCAAGCGTCAAAAAATAATCTGGTATCGCCCGATTCATCTAGATTATTAGATTTTTACTCGATTGCAACTACTGTGTAACGACAGTGGAAATCTAGTAACTGGGCGATTATTAGATTTTTTCTAGTTGCAACTATCGATTTATCGCCCGATAATCGATCGATTTAACTATTACTAGATGCACCTGCAGACGCATCTAGTTAAAAGTCCCTTTTCCAACTAGTAATCTAGATGGCAACTAGTCGTGTATCGCCCGATTACAGACGAAATGTATCTAGATTTTTCCCATAGGTGATATTTGCTTGGGAAGATCTTGTATCAAAATTTTGACAAACTCAGTCGTAGAAATTGTTTCCAGTAACATTTTGACACGTTTCTGATAGAAAAAGTCAAACGTATTGCGGGAAAATTGTTTAGCTTAAACGCGCATGTCCTGTTTACCACAGATCTTAGATAATTTTTGGCGAGAGCTGTATGAAACAAACTAACAAATCTAGCGAAGAACATATCAAAATATTTTGAGCAAAAACGTATTGATTTTCTGTTCTAATTGTCTGCGTCCGATAAGAATCCGAGGCCAAGCGAAAACCGGCATCCACATTTTCCATCAAGAACAAACAGAGAGATGGTACTCTTAATTGACTTTGTCCTTTAATTTTTTGCATCTGTATACAGTTTAGTGGAAAAACATACCACATTATTCCAAAAAAAATATTCGAGATAACTGCTGTAATCTCAAAAATAGAGTTTTTGACCAGTGAATCGCATTCTGAGCCCATGTAAACTTTTTATGAAAATGTTATCTGGTGAACGCACCATACAGAGCATAATCAGCATGAAAAACTGCATCGCATGATATGACATTCCCAAAAAACCGTCTTTCATCCGATCTAGAGCCCCCAGCGGATATCTGCTAATGCACTTAATGCGATAACACACATCGAATTACATAGTTTTCCCAAACTATTATTTTACGGGTCATTGGCTCTGAAAATGAACGAATTAGAGTTTTACTTTATTGAAAACTTGCAGGATAATAAGTTTTCAATAATCTACATCGCTTTTTACCAATGTTTTTATACAATTGTTAATGAGAAAACTAACATTAATATACCAACTATCAAATTCTTATTGACATTCCCGACAGCTGCAAGTTCAGATGAAATTATGCTGTTGTCGTCTGTTACAATCAATGATGAGACAAATGAGTAACTCAGATTTGTTGCAATTGGAGTTCCATCTATCGTAATTGAAACTGGTACATTGGAGAGATCACCGTTTTTAATAGGTGTTGGGCATAGTATCTCATTTATATCAAAAAATATACCTTCTGTTTCTGTATCACCAAATTTACAGATAATTTTTTTACATAATGAACTTTCGTATCCGGAACCATAAAGTGTTACATTTATTGATAAATTGTTCGGACCATATTGAGGGAATATCGTTGATACATGTACTACATTAGTGAATTCGTGGTTACATGCTGATTCATGTACTGAATCGATGAACAAATTCCATTCGTTTGTCCATTTTGTAAATCCTTCTTTTTTGCGACTCTCTGGAAGTGTACTGTATTCTATAGAATTCCATGCAAATTGTTTTAAATCCGCCAGATTCAAACCCCATGCCATTGATGCCAAATAAAAGTCAACAGTTAATTGATTGTAACCAAAACTTCCTGGATCATCGCCAGACAATACAATCGGAATACCGCTTCGATGATAAACGATTCCAGGATGATTGCGTAAATCAGCAACATAGCCTATTAACAGACAACAAAAATCAATTAAACCTCCCCTCACATTAGAATCCCACCCCATAATAGAAGCCCAGTCTGGTAAGAAATTTTTTGAAAATTGTCCCTGCCCCCATAGGGTACTTTTTGAGAAAATTTTGCCTTTCTTACGGGACATAATAGAAGCCCACTGGGCTTCTAATGTGGACGGGGGTTTATCATTATATTATCGCACCTCATTTGACAAAATCGAGTATCAGTTTGTTGTTCGTACTTATGACAGTTTTTTCTTTTTTTCTTTTAAACTTTAATTTTCATCACTCCAGTCCGGATTACTTCATTGCATCTGTGCCCAAAGGTACCAAGACAATGAGCATTAGATAGCTTGTCCGAGACTATCACGTGACCGCCGTCACCGGGATTCGAACTCCGTATTTTTGAAGCATGTTGTCTGCTCGCTAACGGACTGAGCCACCTTGCTGTTATAACAGCTATTGAATTTTTTTACGTAAGGGAGGAGCAGTAGGAGAAAAACGAAAAAATAACTTGTGTTACCTAATAACTGATTACTTGCAGGACAAATTTCAATTGCAATTTGACGATCACGTATGTATTGGTACATATCGGGACGTTTTGCTAAGCTCAGACCATGACCAATTCGGTGAGTTCTAAGTACAAGAGCATCATAGATATTTTCAAATGTTGATACGTCATCATTTGATGAGAGATGGTCTTCTGGCCAGTTTGTTTCACCAGCATGAAAAAGTAGATTAAAAGATCCACCACTATTTTGTGAATGATTGAACGCATGGATTAAACTATCACTATGGAACAAGAGAGTATGCCCATGATCCTCTTCACCAACTAGATCATATCCCCTAATGAAATCTGGATATAGTCTCTGAATATCTATTACTTTGTCGACTTCATTTTTAATATTTTCTTTTGGAGCACTTCTCGAGTTATAAAGTAAGAATACGAAATCAATCAATTTCGGATTCTTTTCCATATAATCTTTTTTAAAATCAGTGAGTAAATCTAATTCATCAGTTGCACTTATTGATATTCGAGAACCACTTGAGTTAAAATAAAATAAACTTCCGAAACTGCCTCGTCTTAATTCCAAAAGTTGTACATTCTCTTCAAGTGAACTATCCAACACCGCTTTCATGTAATGAAAACGTGTAGCATTGTGTTTCACCAAATCACTATAGAAATTGAAGACTCCATATTTATTGGCTGTAGACCATCTACCTGCTGTATCAGTTGCATATATTGGAGTATTCAAATCATTCAGAATTCCAGTGAGAGTAGTCTTCCTTACAATGTCCGAAATTGTCCAATTTGAGCCTTTAACTTTTGTCCAACCTTGAGGAATATTTGATTTGAAATACTTAAGGTAATATTTCTCTGTTTCACAACTACTTTGATCACATATGTGTAATAATTCGTATTCTGAAGAGTTTTGGATTACTTCTAGTAATCGTTTTCGGTCTAGAATCTGATTTTCATGGATATGCAGATTTCCACCTTTTGGTAATAACTTCAAAAATCGATAAAGAGGTCTATTCGTAATATTAATTACTTCTGTTTCAATAGGTTGAGATGGATAAAAATACTCTGTTGTATCATTAAATTCATGTGATTTAAGTAATTCAAAATATAAATTGACTACATTTTCTTTAACATTCAAATTATTTTTACTTTGAAAAGCTAAATCATGTTGTCTAATATTGTCTCTTGCAAGCATATAAGCATATTGATTAAATGGTAATGGTAAAGAACTGATTTTTGTAAATGAAAAAAATAAGAGTAAAAGTTTTAAAATCGTTTTGATCATTATACCTCGTTGATAATCAATGATTATTAAAATCTTTCTTTTATAGTTTATTGCCTCGATTTTTCTGTTTTTTTTGTAAAAAGTTTTATCTGGTTGTTAAAAATGGCAATTATTGCACTACATATATACTTTTTTATTATTTGCATAAGATAATATAATCTGTTTTTCTATTTTGTATCGTCATCAGTTGTTTCATCCTCGAGAATTTTTCTCATTCTTAGATAGAATTCTATCAGATATATCTATTCGATCATCGTAATCTCGATCATTACGTTTCAATTTGATAATAATACAATCGTCAATGAGAGAATGAAATGTTAAGGTATGGTGGCCTTATCTCAGCAAATATTAAAATACTAAAGTATAAAATCGTTATAAACAAGATGTTAAACCTAGTCAAATATAAAACAAAATATTCGTTTTCAATGTTCGCAGTCTCAATCAATGTTGGTATGAGTCAACTCTCAGCACTCTTTAATCTAATTCTTCTTCTCTTTATTTGTTCTTTTTAATGAGTATCATATCGAATTGAGGAGAAGAAGAGAGGTGTGTACAAAGTAAAACATAAAAATGACGATATCCAATCCCATATTACGATTCTTTATCTATCATTTCTTGTGTCTGTGTGAATAGTACTGTGTCAAGTCAGATGTTGGGCAAGGCCAGATTTTCTGCATTTACTCAATAGCGTCTCTTTTCGTCGTCTTTTTAATTTCCTCCTTGAACAAGACATTAATGCTGACTCATATCGGTGTCCTTTGTCATTGTTTTCAATTGCATACTAAACTGCTTTAGCATATTGATCCTTGTTTTCTTCGTAGCTTGTTCTTTGCGTAGCTTCCTAAATGCGTCCCAAATTTAAGCCAATTAGTATAAAATTGGCCGCAATTTGGAACGAGTAAATTTATATTATTCTGCATTTTCCAAATTGAGACCACTTTTTAATTAGTGAGTAATCAACAATCGTAATTTAAAATACAGATGTATAAATTAGTCGCCTTTTAGAAAAAATAGAAGTAGAAACATATATAAGAAGAATTGATGACTATATATTTATGTATTATATATACGCAGCTATGAAAAACAGCTATATCAATAAAGAATTTAATCTTCGTTTTATCCGGTATCTTTTATAACATCAGAATAAGAAGGAACTCCCAGAGCAAAATGAATAATTTTGATTAATAATCAGTGAAACATATCCTAATGATTATTGATTAAGAATATTTAATTGTATGATTAGTCGTTCCAAAATTTGATCAGGAGTTCTATCTTATAGATAATATAAATATAGAAGTATGCAGAGTAAGGTCATACTTTAGTTAAAACAATGGATACAAACTTTACTTGATCAAAAACTCAAAGAGGTGACACAACAATCTTGTATAATAATTACTTATATTACTTAAAATGTGTAAATCAGACCGACTCGTTAGTATACGTCTGTAGTTTCAAATCCTTTTTGTTTTTCATAGCTGCATATATATAATACATAAATATATAGTCATCAATTCTTCTTATATATGTTTCTACTTCTGTTTTTTCTAAAAGGCGACTAATTTATACATCTGTATTTTAAATTACGATTGTTGATTACTCACTAATTAAAAAGTGGTCTCAATTTGGAAATGCAGAATAATATAAATTTACTCGTTCCAAATTGCGCCCAATTTTATATTAATTGATTTAAAATTCCGGCGCATTTAGGAAGTAGCCATTCTTTGCCGTATTCTTTCTAAACATTACAATAACGTATATCACCGCATCTTAGCGGTCATCCCTTCTGTTTGCGACTTCAAATTTCAACATCATTCTCATGAAACATGATGCAAGTTTTAACAATTGCTTTCGATAATAGTAGAAAGAAACATTTGTTTATGGTTTTTTCTGACAGTTATCAATCAAAGAAGTATTCTTAGTGCTTCTTATCAAATTCTTAGCCAGTATAAGTTTTGTTATTGTTTCAACACCTTTTTTGACTATTCTAGTATTTAATCAGTTAATTTCATCATCTGAAAGTTGTTTGTTTGAACAATATTTTCGATCATCCGCATCTGATCCCTCGGACTCTCGATGTAACTGTTCAAGGGGTTATCGATTTCGAAGTCCCCGCTGGGTAGTAAGCTCGCGAGAAAAATTCTAGGCCGTCGAACAGAGATGTTCGTAACCCAAGCGGCGAGTGCTCGAAAAGAAATCCTCGCCGAGGACACGACTCCTCGAAAATGGGCTGTCGAAAATTAATTAAAATTTATAACTGATTCTATCGGAATCGCGAGCCAGATATGTCAATGCGACGCAGATGTTATATTATTGATTTCCTGTAATTATTTCTGATAAAATAAGAAGAAAGCATAACGGATTCTAAACGACTTATTTAAATCTGGTAAAATTTGACATCCAGATGTTATATTATTGATTTCTTGTTTTCCACTTCGATTGTTTTTCTTGTTTTTCGTTATGAGAAGAAAAATCTGCAAGTTGCAAAAAAGTATGTAAATTGAAGCTATAAATACTTTCATTTTTTCCTTTACTTCAACAAAAAATTATTGTTGACTAATGAAAAAAACATTCAAAACCACTTGACTTTTTCTCGCTGCTCATTATCACGGGTGATGTACTCGTCGTATTACTTTCAAAGATATACTTCGATGATCCATCATACTTGGATAGTAAATAATTCAACTCCAGTATTCGCTACAATATCAATATCAATGATATCACGTTCTTCTAAACGACTACTATAAACAACACAACGTGAGGATATAAGTCAAGAAATTCTTGTGGAATATGATTATATTCAACACCTCCGTCATTTTTCTTTTTAAGCATAATAGCATACTAAATATCAGTTACTCTTCAGGAAGGTTAGTGAGCCGACCAAGTGAACGATATTAGAGATTAAATCTAAGAGATCGACTAATCCTAGCCGACAGTCTCGAATTTTGACGTTATTTGTTTTAATTTTTTCTTTCAATGCGTTGTGTAGAGGATACTTGATAGGACATAATCCGATCTTGAGAGAGTGGTTCTGTTCGTATATTCTGTTGCATTTTAAAAACTTTATATTTTTAAGGAAATATAGCTTTGACAATTTCAAGTATACAGTGCTAAATTTTTATATGTACCAGACACACGTAGATGGTTATTCGTATGCGGCAGGAGGGGGGGGGGCGAGATGCGGTTGAGAGTGAGTTCGAAAAGTAGTTGCACGGTATCCTAAATTCCTAAGATATCTAAGCTGCCCTAGATACCATAAATAGCTAAGATACCTGGAAAAAAAACAGTTACAGAAAATTGAGTTCGCAACGAACGCAAATTGTGTACGATCTGATTTTTTAAAGGGACTCAAGGCAAAAAGTGCAATAACCGTATAAATAGGTAGAAAATTCGTATTTTAAGAATTTTATATTTTTCGATAAACTCTTAATCATGGTAAGACAAGTTAAGGATGTAGTTGCATTCAAGTTTAGTCTATTGTTGCCAAAGAACACTAGCAATGTCGTTGATTACATCCCTGGAGGAACGATACATTCACAACAAGCATGTAACTCGCTCAGTACATTGGCAGTTAGAGGTGGACAAACTCGATTACCTGTAAACTGAGTACCGCCTCTTTTGTTGATACTCAGTGTGTTAGTCTTTCTTCAGTTTTTCGAATAGTTTCTTCTTTGTTCTCAAGATCAGGCAGTTTTTCGATAAGACTTCGGCGTCAAACATTTTTCACTTATGTGTACTCGTCTTTTACGTGAATAATTCCGTTATTTTTCTACTTAACTGGGCCACAGCAGGAACACATCATTTATTTATATTTATTTTCTTAAATTACACTCTCGGCATAATAAAGTTATATGACAGGAATTATGAAAGTGATAGATTCTTGCGATTATTGTTATATGTTCGACTTTGTCTCTACACATTTTCCTTAAGAAAGGTATACGGTTGTTCGATTTTAGATCGTATCTATAATTATTGGTCATAGCATATGTCAGTATTACTTTCTCTTCATGACACATAAGCCTCGTTTCAGAGTTGGAATCTTTATTCTTCTCTTTTACCCTCTGAAAAGGAACAATCGATACGGCTAGCGGGTTTCAGAAAGAACGACTGACAACTTCGACTTTTATCTACATGATACCAACATATTTTTATCAACTGGTACAAGTTTCAAAACGACTATAGATTTTTTTATCAATACGTTTTACGATCTTTTCAAAAGTTAGAACCTTTTCTGAAAATGTTCTTTCAGTATTCTGAAGCTTTTATCAACTGAATTTTTTTCTCACTACATTGAATAGAACAGAAATTGTCTGTACCAGTTAAGAAATCTCCCGCTGCTACTATAGTTTTTAAGATGAGTTGTAGTGCAAAGCAACATCATAGTCAATCAAAATACTATATAATGCACCTCACCTTTCTTCTTTCTTCCGCAAAATTCTTCTTTTCGTCCATTGTTACAATCAAAGAAGAAGTCTATTGTCCGCCATATATACTACTCGGTCAGTTATGATACTGAGGTATTTTTCTAGTGTATTCTATTAACTTTGCCAATAAACAGCAACAAATCTGAACAATTTTCATTGCATGTTTTTATCAAAATTTATTCAGTTTGCACATTTTATTTTTGAATAGTAATTTCTTATGGTAACAACTTAAACAAATTTTGGCAACTTGTTGGCGCATTCATATTTCGCAGTCGTCAAGTCCTAGTTCTAGTCTGGCATGAGAGTCAGCTGGTAGAGAAGAGTATCTTTCTCTGTTTTATCGAGTCTAAAAGATTTTCAATAACTCTGGTGTGTTTCATTCACTTTTAAGACAGTTGGCAGTTGTAAATGTCGCTAAAATCTTGTTGATCGGTTTTAAAGCAATTTAAATGCTTTCTATTTGTTATAATGCGAACCTTTAGAATCTGA